GCCGCTTCATTACCGCCAGTGTGTGGGCGTGTGTGAGTCTGGCTCTCGGGGAAAAGCTGGTACTTAAATTGTTCCACTGCGTCAAATTGAGCGCTCATGGGTTTCCGCTATGGAACAGCCATGCGCTGATGGCACTGCGAACCCTTATCTGTAATGGCAGCAGCGGCGAGAAGCAAGCTCAAGCCTTGTGAAAAAACAGCTGCGGCGAGCTTCGACGGTGCAGCAGGGGCCTGGCTCTCAAGTTATCTCATTACCTGTTTTTTTCGGAGGCCTTTCGATCTCGACTCGAGGCTGCCCCCCATCACCCGGTTCCACCCCAAAACCCCGATTGCTCAGCGGGGTGCGGACCGCGTTCTGTCAACCTTGACACGACAAGAGTGAACATCTCAGCATCTCAGGCAGCCATCGTGGCTTGATTGTTTTGCTCGCTGATGACCGATCTGTCTAGCAACTTGGCAGCGGCAAGTCGTCCATCAAACCTGCCATGCAGGTTGTCCACGGCAGCAGTTGCCTTCGCAAGAGGCAACGTCTAGTCGACTAGATCGGGTTTTGTGCACAGTTGTGATGCGAAGTCACTAAGTCGGTCATTGTCAATGCTCCTCCATGCTGCTTCAGTGGAGGTACATCCTTCATTTGCAGCATGTGGTATAGAACCAGTTCAAGCCACAGCCTGTAAGACTGTAACACAGATCATGAGAATGCAGGCCTCGACTCTCAGAACCTGTCCAACGGCATGCGGAGATTTGCTAAAGTTCATGCCTCGGCATCTCGGGCTCAGCGTGAAGCAGCTCTTGGCAGAACCCAAGGAACATGTGAGCAAGAAGGCGAAGTTCCTGTGTCCCAGGCCTTGCGATGCGACGTCCCCACGATTTCTATCCTGGTCTGATCCCAAGACCTGCAGCGGCAAAGGGCCACTGTGGCTAGCAAGGTTCTTGAATGAATCAAGGATTCGGGTATTGGAGTTGAGAGCTTTCGTGGCTGTTGAGGCACGCTTTGTACGAGGGCCACCTTTGAAACGTGTCTGTGGCCAGAAAATCCGTGGATGTGAGTCGTTCCTGGGTTGATGGATGCTGCTAACCGTGCCCCAGTGAAGCAGTGACAAATCTTACAGAGGAACCCAGTTCAGTATCCAAGGCCGGAGAGGCACTTGCAGGAATCACTGAGCTCGGCCCCCAAGACTTCGCCAACATGGGACAGGCCGTGGGAAGCCAACTCAGCAAGGATCACTGCTGAGACATGTCGGGCTCTGACAGGCGCCAGGGGTGCCAGCGGTGCTGTGCCCTTCGTTGATGGCCGGGTGCCCACATTCCAGTACTATCTGCAATCCAACACAGGTAGCCGGAGCTTCTCCCAGGCTGCGATCCCCGCTGAAGCCGAGCTTTCACGGCTTTCGCCACAGCACCTGGCCAATGGAGGATGGGCCGCGAGGACGCGGCTCAAACATCCAGGGAACTCCTCGGCATCCCCAGGAGCGAACTCCTATAAAGCTTGGAAGATATATGCACATAGATAGGTCAACAAGACAGATAGAGAGAGATAAGCAGACAGACAGATGGATAGACAGATAGAGACGAGAGATGGTCGATAGATAGATTCAGGTAGATTCTTATTACAGTTCGCAGAGGGCATCTTCAGTTTCTACGCTGGGTCTGTATGGTCGATGAGCTACTAGGCATGGCTGTGTTGATGTGGTCTTATGCACTTATGCAGTAGGGTAAGTTCCTCATGCATGATCTTGCACCAGACTGTCTGCCAAGAGCCCCCGGCTCAGCTATGGCATCGCAGTTATTGGAGTTTACGACCTGAGGGCTAGGCTGCTAGGCTAAGAAGATTGATTGAAGCACTCTCTTGGGTTTCTTTCTTTTGCTTTTGCCATCATGCAGAATCATGCACCAAGCACAGAAACAGCTCGAAGGATACTACAAGCCTCTGGCTTGGCGTTTGCTTCGGCGGCGCGCCGCTCATGGGCTTTGTTTGCGAAAGCCTCACAAGCGCTTTGCGTTTGCGTCCAAGGCCCTGGCAAGGGCTCTGGACTTGGTTTCAGAGTCCGGGACACAGAGAAACCTCTACAGCGCCTCTGCTTGGAAAGCGGTCGACTGCCCAGGTTCGGGCCGCAGGATTCGACGACCGCTGCGCAGGCTTTGATGTTTCCCACTCTTGCACGCGATCCCGCCCTAGCTCGTGTAAGGCGCCTGCTGCGTTGGCACCCAGACGTCAGGGTCCCAAGGAGCCAGGGATAGCCAGAGACAAGATTTGGACATTCGGGCCGCCAGCATGATGAACGAAGAATTCTGATGAACTGCGACAGTAGAAGACCCATTGCCGCACAGCCGCGCTGTTTCATGCAGTCGTTCGAGTTTTCAGGGTTCGTGCTCGGCTTCGAGACTTTGAGAAGTGTAGAGTGGCAAGAGATTGAGTGCTTTTGGGTTCTGAGAAAACTCAGGCGAGCTTCTGCTTCAAGCGACATGCCGTGAAGGCCTAAAGCAGCATCAGCTTTGTATTCGGGTGTTTCTTCAAGTAAAGTAGACTCAAGCAGGAAGCTGGGCTTTTCGTGAGGGAGGCCAACGGCATCTTTCGCAGGGATTGAAAAGCCACTGCCAGGGTGGCGGCAGCTCCCGATGCCCAACTCCCAGGCAGGAAGCAATCGCAATTCTTGGGAGTCTATAAAGCGTTGTCGTAGACGCGCCGGAGGGACCAGCGAACCTCTCCTGGAGACACACCACGCTGCAGCCCATGGGCCAGGACCTCAAGCCAGTAAAGTCGCGGACATGTGCTAACGGCTGTTGTTCGCTTCTGTCGTTCTTTTCTCATGGGGACCCCTTTTTGAGTGCAGCGTCGAAGCCAAGAGCCGACGATGGCCCATGTTCAGGTGCTTCCTTGTTGAGTGCTGCTGGCGAGTCGACGGCAGCCAGTGTTCAGGCTCAGTGTTGCATCTTCGGCCTGTGAACTAGTCCAACGCCCTGAAGATCCTACAAGTCCTGTCTGACAGGAGCTCCTTCCGCAAGAGCTTGCAAACAGCATCCGAGACTTCACCTCTTTGGAGAGCATGGGCTGCGCTGCCACGCTTGCCTCTGCAGTGGAAGATGGGGGGGGGGGGGGGGGCTTTGACCGGCAGAGTAATCAACTCCGTAATCATGAGGAGTTGATGCTTTAGCTCACTTTGCCAACGGTGCAACAGCGGACTGTGCATTGTGCACCGCACCACGAGCAACTGCGTGTGAAGAATTTGTAATCTGTAAGCAAGTAGGTTCCTCACGTGCGTACGTTAATGCTGGCCGCTGAGGATTTCTGAGGTACCGCCTGATATAGTGGAAGCGAATCCGTTTTGCGTTGTCACCAGGTGTCGCCGTGACAGTATGCCGTGAGCCGAGGAATCCAGAGTCGAAACTGTAGGGTTTTGCATTCTGACGCTCCCTTTCTGCCTTGTCGACACTATGCCTGAGATGCTGTTTCCGAGATGCTCGTGCTCCTCTTCCGGTACCGTTTTTGAGCCACCGACACTCTCTGTTCCTAAACCGCCCCAAACCCAAAGATTTGCGGATTGTCTCGAGGCACTTCTTCAGCCGTGTTGCGTCGCAGCACTGAGTTCGACTGCCGTGGCCCGGCGAACATCTTGTGGCTGGGGGCCCAGAGGCCAAAAGCTTTTTCTGACTGGGTGACCATCTGTGATCCAGGTGTTTCTAATGTAGAGCTTCATGCATACTGCTGCTTACTGGAGACCTCCAGAATCGGAAACATAGGCCTGCGGCAGCACCAAGTGTTCGACTGCACTGGCCCGAAGGAACGGCACAGCCTTTGACGACAGAACCTGCTCATTATCCGACACCCGATGCCCGAATCCTCTGCTTCAAACATCCTCTGGCAAGTCGTGATGCTGTGCCTTCATCCAGAAGGGGTGGGACGATGATAGCATTGTGCGGAACCGCACACCAGCAACAAACCACTCTGTTCGCGATTTTTGCGCTATTTAGAGGATTCCAACAGGCCTTGGAGCGTTGGGGGTAGCCGTTGGCGGCTTTTCCGAGGTCTTCTACCGTGCTACGCATCCTGCCAGGGCTGCAAACTGCCATTGTCGGCAAACTCCGAGAGGCTTCTGCACAGGCCGTGCAGCCAGTTGCGCAAGTTGGGATCTGATGTTAGTCAGCGGCACAGCAGAGGGCTAGCTCTGAGCCGAAGTGAAGATGCTTCCTTTGCCGCCTCGTTTGCAGGATCCTTCAAACAGGGCCCGAAGGCCCTGGTTCGTTGCTGCATGCAATCATGCATTCTGCTGAAGGAGAGCACAGGCAACAGGCCTTTTTAAGTCCCCTGATGACTCCTCGCCCCGATCCTTCCATTTCAGACATGCAGCTGCTTCCATCAAAGATGAGACGCTGCCGGGGCGCCCAGCGACTTCAGATGGTACAGTAGATGCCTCCATAGGAGCATTCTCCTTTTGCTGCCTTCATCAGCCCATTTTTGGCTCGGGCTCCCTTCGCGCCTGTTCCTGCGAAGATCATGGGCGACACGAAGCCCGTGTCTGGCACCCTACGCACAGCAGAGGGGTCGATTCTCAAAGATGTCGACGGACGCAGGCTGAACATGCAAGAGATGTGTGCCTCACGCTGAAGCAGCACGTAAATTTCATGCACCTCACTTAGCTGCCTTCAGAGGCGAACCGTTTGGAGGTCCGATTTAGCCCAGCCCAGGCCGCAACAACCTTGTGCTCGTCTGCACCTTCAAATCTGTGAGTTGCCCGGTTTGTCCACAGAAGCTGCAAAAGCTCTTCATGGAGCCGCTGCGCAACTGGGCACAAGATTAAAAGCATAGTGTCACCATCTCATGTTCTCGGATGGGGTTGATCCCGAGACTTCAGCTCACTGGGCTCCAGTTCAGAGCAGCTTGTGACCACCGAAGGAAGCCTTTGCCGCGAAGCCATGGTCAAGTGATCCCGACATGTCTTGAAATGTCTTGTGTATAAGCAACCCGACCTTCAGCTGCCGAAAACGGGTGGGGGTCTAAGCACCGAGTGCTATGATCCATGCCGATTCGGCGTGAGTCGTCGCGGTCACAGAACGCTGACGTTCATGAGCATCTTGCGAATCTCTCACTGCCAGATGGATTGTGCTCAGTCCGGGGCCCCCTGCAGCGCTCAAGGCGCTGAGAGATCAGCTCCATCTCAAGGACGCCCAAAAGGGCCTAAAACAAGAGGGTCCAGGCTTTCAGGTCACGACTTCGGATGGAATCAGACTTTTGGGGTTTGCTACCGCTACTGCTACCACGACGATCTCGACGACGACGGCGACGGCGACGGCGAGGACGACCACCACCACTTATTACTTCCTGCTGTCTACTTGCAGACCGTGTGAGCTTCGGACAGTCAGCACAGCTCTCCGGGTGCCTCTGCCTTCCTGAGTTCAGGAAGACGTACCTTTCGTTTGTGATGAAGACTTGCAAATCGCAGCATCTGTGCGGCCTGGACTAAATCATGCACGGTGACAGCTTCGCAGCGCTCCCATGCCGGGGTCTGCTCAAGCTGAGGAATGCAACTCCGAACATCGGGCAAATACTGCCTTGCTTCTTCGAGATTAAGGCAGACCTGTCGGTTGGCTGGAGCCACATTGACCGAGGCAGCGTCTTCGGCGACACGAAGGTTTCTGGGCGGAGTGAAATTCTGTGCCCATGCCGTAGGCCGTAAACCCTGGTCCAGTTGAGCTTGGCCCATGTCATGTCATGCTTCGTCTGTCCCTTTGTCGGCTTAGGTTCAGGAGTTCTTGACTTGCAGGCTGAACGAGGCTTGGGAACTCGCTGAAGCGGCCTACTGCCAGCTCGAGATCGCTATCCAAAGAGTGCGAAGCTCACCCGAAGAGCTACAGCTTGGCAGCCAAGGCCACGTTCCATCGCCGGTCATCCGCGACATGTTCCAATTCTTGGAGCATTGGGAAGGCAAGCACCTGGCAGGCAGCAACCGAGAGCTCCACAGGACCTTCAGCTCCTTCGGGATGCAGAAGGCAGAAGACTGCTTGGAGGAGGCCAAGTTCTTCCGCGGAAGGAGCATGCTTGAGCAGAATGCTGAGCTTCAAGAGGGCCGTGGGCGCTTGCTCCAACGAGTGCTGATCACTGGCGGTACCTGGCAAAGATGTCCTGGTTCGATCAGACAGGCTTGCCAAGATGGAAGCTACATGGTGCTAGTCTACTCGTCTATGGGACTTCAAAACTTAGAGGCCTCCAACCTTGAGGCTATTCCTTGGTGCAGCATGTCCATCCCACGCTTGGAGGAAGTGCGTGCATCCATGCTGCATCATATTGATCTTCTCGGCCAGCCCATCAAGCGGTCATCCCTTTTGCCCGCAGACGAGCCTACGCCAGCGATTATGCGCAAGTCTACCTTGCGCCGTATCGGGTTTGCGGTTTTGAGTGGCATTGCCATCTGTTTCGTGTTGCGCTTTTAAGCCCGAGAGCAGGCTCCTCCAAAGGGGGTGTCGTTTATTCTGCAGCTCGCGCCTAAGCCTTGGCAACTGCAGGTTTTCGCAACAGACTATACAGACCCATACAGACGTCTTCTGTTCGGCTCGGCTCTAACGTGCCACCGAACGAGAAGCAACTTATTTTGATCCCGTGCAGAGCTAGGGCTCGTCTCGGCTAATACCTCGACAGAATTCGCCTGCATCCTTTGCACCTATCACCCGGCAGACTCATCGTCTCGTGGTGGCCTCTGAAAGGCTGACCTGCGCAGAAGTCGCGCTGAACAGCAGAGTCCAAATGACTGCCACTCAAGAGTGATGCAGCCACATTTAAGGGTGACGTTCCGGTGACTTTGAGACTTGGAGCTATTACGACCAAAAGCTGTGGATGACTCAAACCAACTCAGACGCCCGCATTCGTTGGATTGCTGTGCGCACAGCCGGCATCACATCGCGAAGGTAGTTCTCAGTGAACTGGAGCCCATCCTTTCTTGAACAGTTAATTCTTCTTGTGCCTTCAGGTTTGCCGCGATTGCAGACGAGTTTTTCGACAAACGAGGCTGGCAAACTCGGGGGAAGCTTCCTACTCTGATGATAATTTTTGGGTTGCTTGATATCAACTGAACACCTGCGAGGTCAACCCGTGCCACAGAACGCGGCAAACAGCGCGCGGGAGATTGCCACGTGCCCACTGGCGAGGTTGAAGGGAAAAGTTTACGCTGGTCCAACCACAGAGCAACGTTGGTATGCTGCTCTGAGCCTCTCCGACTCAAAGAGGCTAACTCAACTTCAAACGAGATAGATTTTGTTCACTGAATCACGAGCCGGTGCCAGGGACGTGTCCGCAGAGCCTGCCTCTATGCATAGCAATATGTCAGACTGCATGTGCTCGTGTTGGACTGGTATCCTCCACACTGGCTAAATCAAGGCCACACTTGTTCACACTCACCCGTGTGCATGATAGCCCAAGCCTGTGATCTGATCTGATTGCAAAATGGCGGCTTTTATGGCTGCTTGTTTGTTGTGCGATGGTTATCTTTCAGCAGCGATGGCCTACGTGCCAGGACATCCATCAAGAACAAGCCGCTCTCGGCGGCAATCTTGGTCACATGTATGGAGAAGGCCTCCCTGCAAGGGGCTTTGTGCGCTGCTTCGGGTGTGGCCTTTCGAGCTGTGTCAGGTCAGGGAGCTCGCCGCAAGAGAGATTGCCAACACATTGCGGAGTCTCGGGACTGCCGCGGAGGCGCACCGAAATGTGCCGATGTGGTCTCGTAGCTCTGCACGGAGTGCCACACGGCCGCACACCGCCCAAGAGGGAGGAAGAAGAATGACAAGACGGAGGAGCAGTAGGAGGAATCTCAACTCAGAATTGTTTCTCTCAGCTTCTTGCCAGGTGGACCTGCCGCTTTGCACGGCGCTTTCCAGGGCAGCGTTGTGCATGGCGCTGAGCCTCGCCACCTGGTGCCTGGTTCAGGGTTGACAGCCTTTGTGGTTGCGTCCGGCACCTTATCTTGACCAGGCACGGCGCATCAGCCTGACCCACAAGGCTCCACTGGCAGCTAGCAACTGTTGGAATTTCTTGATGATGACAGAAGAGTATAAAAGAGAAGGGTGATCAGAAGCATGACCTTGGACCTCCGGTCTCGTAATCCTGTGGGCTCCTGAATGGAAGGATCAGCTGCGAAGCAGGCTTCCCCGCGGCACTTCCCCGGTGTTTTCGTGAGCTCTCAATTCTCCTACCTGCATTTTCATGCATTTTCCTAGGTCGTGCCATTCGGCGGTGTCAATCGCCAACTGTAGCACCCCAGTTGAAGCCTTCGAAGCTACACTGCAGTCCAGATCTCCATGATCTCCACATGCTGAGAGGCCTGGCGAATGTCCTTCGAGGCCTTGCCACGGTGTTGGCGCCCCCGAGCGAGGAGCCCTCGCATGGGACTTTGTGGGACTCAGGGCACGGAGTCATTCAAATCCATGGCTTGCGAGCACCGAAGCGAAACGCATCTACGCTTCGAAGTGTGTTTTTGCAGTTGCAGCGTTTGGAAAGAGATGTTTGCAGTCACGAAATGCTCAGTCAGGCTCAGTCAAGAAAGTCGCAACACCTTTGTAAAATGATGTTCAGGATCCAAGAAATCCTAATCCTAAGACGGTTTGCGTACTACAGTGTTGGAGCTGGTTCACCAGAGCTGCTCAACACCAAAACGCCTGTCGCCCTCATGGCTATGCATGCTGCGGGAGCTATGGCGAAGAGGCGTGACCCGACCTCTGGAGCAGCTCGGATCTCCCTTGGATGCAGCTGCCCGCAGAGCCGCGTGGAAGGAGGTGAGGGCGCGAAAAAGCATGACAAGCACACGTCCATATCGCATTCCCCAGCCCCTCTCGCCCGACATGGCAAGGCTGTGAGCTTGCTCGTGTCGGCCGTGCTTGCGCGACAGCAGCCACTCTGCAGCCGGAAAAGTGCCACTTCGGCAGCACAACAAGGGAGTTGTCGTAGATCCGTGCCATTACACAGCATGGACTTGGTGAACAAATGTCGAACTGCGGCGCGCCGGAAGGTTGGAAAGCTGTTGGGTGCGTGCGCTGCTCATTGGCCCCTATCACTCTCGCTCCTGACGCTGGCCGGTCGCAGTCTGGGACTTAGGCAAAGCCAATAAAGTTTGAGCGCTCCGCACAGTGTCTGCTTCCTAGGCAGGTTAACTCTCGATCTGCGAGCCTTCTGCGCCGTCGCGGCTGCTGCCGGGACCTGCAATGAGATCTCAAATGGCGCTTCTAAAATCATCGCCTAGTGGAAGATGAATTGGCCCGGGAGTGGTGGTTCGTCGAGGGATGTAGGTCTTCCGATCTCAGAATCTTGAATCACCCCAAACTCCAACAGCCTAACACCCAATACCCCCAAACCCGAAACCCTAGGCGCGGACAAAATTGGGGACCTGAACTTCAGGCGGCTACGGCCAGCAGGGCGTGGCGCCGGGCTCTGGAGCAACTCAAGGAGGCAGGGAGCCAGAGAGAAGCAAAGCTCAGCTTTTGATCCGTGCTGCACTGCACTACGTCCGCAGACCGGAAGGCCAGTCAACAGGTTGCCGTAGCCGCCGTAGCCTTTATGTTCCCAGACAGCAGCCCTCTTTCAGGGAACTAAATGTCCAGAGCATAGTTCACGATGAGGCACGATGTCTTGAGAAAACAGCCGGACCTTTGATTGCAAATTTTCCATGGCCACTGTGGGCCAGAGGTCTTGATTGTAGACCATACTAGTAGTCGCATCATACACCTGCACACCTTTAGCCTGACGAGCATGGCCTGGACAGGAGCCGGATGACAAGCTGTTTCGTAGATCTTGGGGGTGGCGGTGTTCAGGGCATCTGTTAACTTGTCCAAATGTCGGAACTGCACATGTGTTCTAGGAGCCCTGCTGGAGCAGGTGGGCAACCTGGATTCAGCTTCACTGTTGCAAGTCTTAGTCTCCGCAGTGTTTCTCTTCTTTGTCACCTACAGGGTGTCGAGGAGGGCCGCAAGGGCAGCTTGTGTGCCTGCCGTGTTCCAGGGTTGTGCCTGCTGTTAGCTTTCAGCGTTGCTGGGCATGCCAGACCTGGAGAATGCCCGTGGACTTGGCTTGCACCAAGTTGGGCTGGACCCGTGGAGCCCGTGGAGGCCGTGAGTGGCTGCCAGGCGCGGGGCCAAAACCGCGTAAACCGTAAGCCTGGGTTTCAGTCCCAGGATGCCATGCCCTGAAGGCCCAGGGGCCACTGGCGACACAGACTCTCCGGGAGCTGAAGAGCATCACCACCCGCCGGTGGATACCCATCGGGGCCCGGCGACTGTAAAAAGCGCTCGCGCGCGCCAGGGCTCTTAGAGTCTTTAGAAGGGCGCTTTTGCCCGTCAGCTCACACAATCAGGTCCCAGAATATGGGACGTGAGCCAGAGCGGCGGAAGTCGGACAAACTGCGTTCGCTTGGCTCGCAGGCCTTTTGCCTTTTCGAACCCGACGATGTATCGGCCGGCTTGGCTGCGGCAGCTGGAGCGCACGGACCGTGGCAACTGGCCGGGGGGTCGGTTTGCATAGAACCACAATCATGAGCCATGCTCCCTGTCCACACTGTTGCGGTAGCGCCAAAGTCGAAGACAGATTCGAAGCATGCAGCTGCTTTTGATATGCTTCGATCATTACAAGCCGACGCTGGTGGGTGTGGCAGGCCTTCGCGATTCTCGCCGATGCACGCAGGTGGGCACCAGAGCTGCAGGACGAGCGGGTTTTGCGCCGCAAATTTCTTAGTTGCAACTCGCATGCAGCTGGGCCCCGCAACAAATCAAACGCGTTCACGGAGGTTTCCGCAGGCCCCTGTCAGATGTACACGCTACCAGGACGTCTAGTTGGTTTGCCCAAGCCGCATTGTACTTAGTGGCGAGACACCTCGGACACGACGGTAAAGATTGGACACCACGGAATGCTCCAAGAATGTCTCTGGTGAGCATCCTGGAGGCGGCATCTTCTGAACTTCGCGAGCTATGGCTCGGTGATAGGCCTGGTTCCGAAGGTCAGCACAGGGTCTCGGGATATTTGCGCTTCTTGCAGGTGGACTTGCGCAATCCTCGAGCTGGAGGCGTGTCCTCGCGCAGAGCTTAGGCCAACGGCCGCTGTTCGGCGGTATTTTTGTCTGCTTGCCGATCTGAGATGAGATCTGTGTCTCGTTCTTTGCTCTTCATCGATCTATCTCGTCTTTCTATCCGTCTCTCTCTTGCTTGTACAGTTCCGCTGGCAGTTCCATCCAGGCCTCATTGCCAACCTGCCAAGGTCATTTTGGATGAGATGCGCAAGAACGGCCTGTCGCCGAATGTTGCCACGTACAGTGCTGCCACTTGACTTGTCGGAAATGAAGGCTGAGGGCTGAGGGGGGCTGAGGGCCCAGCGACATGCCACACCCGTGATAGCATTCGCCGAGGCTTTGAAGGCGCTTCAAAGCGCTGCCCAATGGAGATGCGCTTTGCAGCTCTTCCGGGCATCGCGATCAGAGGATCGGCGACAGGGCATAGCTCACACGATCTCACACACAAGGGGTTCAATGAAACTTGCTTGGGAAGGTCATTCCAGATGCAATTCTCTGGACCTCCGCCATCAGTGCGGTGCAAGAAGGAGGTCTGGGCCTCGCTTGCCGTGGCAAAGATGAACAAGTCGTGAAGTGAGGCAACCACTGGGCTCTGGCCTCATGGATACTGGGTGAAGCTCATGGCGGCCGCCTCCAGGCCTGCAAAAGTGCGATGCTGTGCTAGACTCACTTAGACTGCTAGGCCCCTAGACTCGAAACCGCACCATGATCAGTCTAGTTCAAGACGAGACCACCGTTCTAGCCAGTAGTTCGCAGCAGGTTAACATGCACATGTGCAGCGCTGCCATGAGCGCAATGGCCCCATGGAAGCAATTCCTATGCATCGGTGTCAGGGTGTCGAAATTTCCGCTGCACATCAGTAGACCTTGCGCAGCCCTTCATATAACGCAAAGCCGGTTTCGTTTTCGTTGAGCATAATCAAGCAGGTGAATTACTGCGTGGATTTGGCAGGGGTGGACGGGTGAAACAGTTTCTGCTTCTCAAAGGAACAAGATCAAGTCCGTGCTGCAGCAGGTGTAGTAATTAAGCTCCGTGTCAGCTACAAGGAGCACAAACGAGTTGACAATTGCTCAGAACTCAGAACCAGAATGAGATCAAATCTACAGGGTGACGGGATCTTCCCGAAACAGACTGTTGCTAGGATCCTTGGTTCAGCCTATGATAGCCTATGGCTGGCGTAGGTTGAGTCCTCAAGCGAAGCGATGTCCACTGTCGCATGCCGCTTGTGACCTTGAACGAGATCTATCGGGCTGAGGAGAAAAGCTCTGAATGGCAGCATGCGCTGCTCCTGTTCGCAACGTGCAGCTCGCAAATGCGGCCGGATGCCGTAGCCTGCGAACCGGCTGCAGTTGGCCTCTTCGCAGAGCTTCGACAAGGTCTGCTCTCGCAAATCTGAGGCAACGCCGCGCTGTCAACCTGTGGTCAGGGCAGTCGTTGGGAAATCGCTTGGTGCCGTGGGCTGCACAGGCATAGATTATCATAGACTGGTGGTCCTCGGGACTTAAGACCGGTACTAAGAGGCCGTTGTCAAGCAAATCAGTCTGCTGAGTCACCTCCTTGAAACCTTCACGGCCGGGCACTTCGGCCTGAATGCCGCTGCCCAGGCTTTTGCCAAGGCCGAACGGGGGGGTGCTGAGGGAGTGGCGGATGGATCTGGGATGATCTGGGGGGAACCTGCCAGGCATTCAGCTGGAGAAGGTCTGGGCCGGGCCGTTACGTGGGGTTTTGAGCTTCGTCTGAGCATGGAGCGGCCTGGTGACTGAAGTGCTTGCGGCTCGTGGTGCCGGCCCTCGTAGTATCCAATACACCTTAAATCCAAAAGCCGTACTTGTAGGTTCCAAATAGAGGTTCAGGACGCTTCGGGCTTCCTTGTACCACTTTCGAGCTTCCGGAACTACCATCGTGGCTGATCCACTCGTGACATCGCGTGTTGATTTCCTTAGCTTTGAGACCGGAGCCAATCAATCGACTCCAAATCCGTCTGTGGAATGTGCGCTAGGCATCGCTAGGCGCTGGGTATCCGGATCCGACTGACCCCCTTCGCCCTCGTTGAAACTTTGGGACCAGCGTCGCCCGTAGCGAGCGACTGGTGATAGGACGGCCTCGGAGACCAGGTGTCTACTTCTGATGGCGGATCTCACTCAGCGAAGCGGAGTTCGTGAAGCGGCTGCTTCTGCGGCACAGGCAGCGGACTGTCTTCACGAATGTGCAGCCGAATGTGTATGATGTACCCATGCGTCCACGAAAGCGTTTGTGCGTTCTCCGGTTCTCTCCCCTTCTCCGCCTTTCTTTCTCTCCTCTCTCTCTCCTCTCTCTCCCCACATATGTTTTCCATCGATGTTTCAGCAGGAAGAGTGTGTTCTGTTTTGTTGTCCTTGGGTTTGGCATGCATGCATACATACATACATACATACATGTATGCATGCCTATGTATGTATGTACGTACATGTACATACGCAAGCAAATGGTGATATTCGGTGCTTGTGTGTGTGTGTGTCTGTCTGTCTGTCTCTTTGTCTGTCCGCCTATCTGCCTTTACCTGTGTTCTTTACGAGCCTATACAGGTGCAGTAAGCATGCAGTGAAGAAGGTTCGGTTGATGTTGTTGACATGGTCTTCCGTGGTGCGTCGGGCTCGGTAGAGAGTGCTGGGTCAACTTTGCCAAGTTCGAGGCACGCGGACCGTAGAATTGACGTCGCTTTTCCTTGCCTCCATTCTTCGTTCCCGGCCGGGAATAGGTGTCCGTACATCTCTGCACCTAATCTCCCGCATCAGTTACACAATCGCTGAGGGGCTTTCTGGACCATGCACTGGACACGGAATGTCGTTGTCTTTCGCTCCGCTCCTGTTGCTCTGCTTTTCTTCCCTCCATGGAGTCGCTTCTCCTCCGCGAAGCCGTGCGACTGTGGCCACTCCCTGCCTCCGGCTTCAGCATCCTCGCGCGAGCTGTGCGTTTTTCATGTCAAGGATAGCTTCGGAAGTTCCCGCTGCCCAGGCAGGTCTACCGAAAGCATCTCGTGAAGCACTCTTGTTCCAGACTGTTGCTGGACATGGTCGGAATCAGTGCTATTACATGGGCTTCGTTGTCACTGAGATTGTGGATTTGGACGGCATTGACTCGAAGAGGCCCTGCTTGCGCAGCTTACACCTACTGCTCGTAGCAGCCACCGTCCTGCCCATCGTTTTGGTCTGTGTGATTCCTTGCGTCGTCGACATCTCGAGAACCGGCAGCTTCGGTTTCTAAGCGGGTCCTGTGCTCGGGCTGCGAACATGGGCTCCTTTGGGATGGCGCAAGGAGCGTGCCGAGGAGCCTGAATCCTGAGCTACCAGTAGAGTGCCCGGCTGCAGCCTGGCTGCTTAGCCCGTGAATGCTTCTCGCGATGCGATGCATGCCAATCATGCCAGGCTCTTTGTGCTGCGTCTGCGTTGCGCTCCCACTTGATACATGGGCTGTGCTCGGTCCATCTATTTGGCGCCGCGCCTTTCCCTGCCGTTTCAGCGGTTGGAGCTACCAGATCTCTGGTGCAGCCTTTCTTCGAAAGCCCTGTAGCTGTTCGCTCAACCGACTGACACAGTGCTAGTAGGGTCGATGATGGTGGATGCAAAATAAAGCATGCCTTGGTTCCCACATAAGCAGACAGAGACAGGAAGCTTCAATCTTCGATGTCGAAGCTCCTTCATAGGGACGCGTAGCCCCGCAGCGCGGAAAGTGCATCTATACATACCCGTTTGCACGCACACATACATGCATACGTTTACCCATACATGCACAGCCGCACACACCTGCTCATCTACATCTACATCCACATCTACACATGCGGATACAGATACACATACGGACATAGATGCAGATACGGATTCGGATGCAGATACAGACACAGATACAGATACAGGTACATACATACATACATACATACATGCATACATAGATACATATAAATACATGAGTATGTATGTATATATATATGTATATACGCTCGCATATACATATACAAACACAAACAAATAACTGTATGTTTGTATAGATATGTACATATATACGCACATGCATTAAATAGGTCGAGCAATGATAAGTTCGCCTAGCTACGGTTAGGTAGGTCTGGGCTAGGAGTATCACATCACTGCAGGCGATCGGCAGCCTCTTTCGAGGTTTGTGCTGAATAATTTTCTCGACCCCATGCCAGAGTGGTCTAGGAAAAAGTTCTGTGCCACTCTGCTCTCTCTTGTGGCTGCCGTTCAGTGAGTTCTCTCTAACGTGCGTGTGGGTGGTGTGATATATATATATACACACACATATTTAATCATATTTACGTATGTACATACACACATGTGTATACATGATATATATATATACATATTTTTTTAATACACACGCACATATACACTTGTGTATACATATATACTCATCTACACTTGTAAGCAAATAAATAAATAAATATATATATATATATGTGCACACTCATACATATATACATATGCGCAGATCATACACATATGCCCAAACACATGCACAGACAGGAGGTCCACCTGCAGCTCCCGGTACTGCCGCCTGCTCCGGGCAAGCGGCGGGCTCTGCAGGCGCTAGCAGGGGTCTGCGAGTTGACCACGAGCAAAGAAAAGTCGACTTGCTTGACGGTGGTGATCGCCGCAGTGCGAGAATCATGGCCAACTTAATTTTCAATCTTGCGAAGTTGATGATAGTAGGTGCTCGTTTTCGTTGTTGGCTGCTTTTTGCATTTCCTGGGCCGTCTTTTTGAGTTGTGTAGGCGCTTTTCATGTTCGTGGCTTCCAACAATAGCCTCAACCAGAACATGTTGAGTTCAGACCCATGCCCTAGGGCGGAAGTTTTGCAGGAAGTTTCTGGACCGGCAGTGTTGGCCATCAGCTGAGACACTAAGATGCGTGTCTGACTCTACTCTACTTTTGTGGCTCCAGCCAGCTCTTTCTTTGCAGGCAGCTTTACGCCAGAGCTTGGGCGCGCGGCCGTTGGACAAGGCCCTGCCCTGGGCCTCTGGGTTCTGGGTCTCTGGCCCGGACCATCCCAACCAGGCCTTCCGACATGCTCTTGGAAGGCAGATTCTCTGAAGTTCATGCTTCGGCAAAGGTAACTCGTGATCCTTTCAGGGCCACACTCTGCAGATCGCCGACATGCTCTTGCTCGTCCGCTGTTTCAAGGGAAGAGGATGTGGTAAACATCCTGTTCAGGCGTGTACCCAGACTGTCGTAGGCTCATGGGAACCGTTTTGCGCTACATATGCGACCACAGCAACTGTTGTCTACGCCAAATAACACCGGCCTCGCCCCATGCCGCATCGCCAGACTGCTTGGAACCAGGAGGGGACAGAACTTTTTGCATGGTGAACACAGCGTGTCCTCAGCAGATGTGCTTGGTACTGCTTCTCAAATCCCCGTGCGAGCTTTTCTCTTGACTCCAAGATGTTGTTCGCCTTTGCTCCTTTCGGCATCACCTTCAGGACGCTGAGTGTCGCGGTCTGAGCGGTCATGAAGTCTGCAGCCAACGCTGCCAGCTGCTGGGACCGCGGTTACATTGTCAAGCTGACACCAGGCTTTTGAGACCAAGTTACCACGCCTCCTGCACTTTCTCACACGCCTTTGCTTTCGTGGGTTGCTTCCCAACAAGCAGTGGCTAAAGGGGGCAGGTAACAGAGCCAAGTACCCTGCACATCGCCCAGAAGCAAACTGGTCTGGAAACCTAAAGCAGCTATGGATCGCCATATGGTCGGGCCTGTACAAGAATTGTGTTTCTTGTGCCGGCAGCGGCTAGCTCTGAGCATGCTTGTTTCAGGTTGAGGGTAACCGGAGAGCCCCGTGATGTCATCCTTTCATCGCTGCTTCTTAGGAGGATCCCAGCCTTGGAGAGATCCCAAGCTCCTTGAGCCCAGGATGCTTCATGGGCATGGGTCGCTCCAAGTCGAAAAAGCCTCGTATAGAGGCCGATTCTGTTCCAGAATCGGAGGCCTGGCTCTGATGCCCTTGGTACCACGTCCTGAACATAGAACTCTAAATGATCTTGATTACCTTTGTCAGTTCTGTCAGCTCTGGACCTGCCTGTAGATGATTTCAATGCTCGGTCCGTGCTTTGCGAGGACAAGGAGCATGAGAGCAATGAGGCCGAGAAAAAGATGCAACAGCGACGCCTGGGCTCCTGCCATGGAACCGACAACACAATGCGTTGTTCTGCAGTACAGTGCAGCATGTACACGACTGCCAAGAGATGGTTGTAGTTGTAATTCGAAGAGGCTATTACAGGAGTGATGCGGCAGCGGTGGGGGGGGGGGGTATGGCGAGAGCCGAAAGCCCGATTGCTTGGACGGACTTTCCACGTCTCCGCTTTTCCAAGACTAGCTGAAGAACACACCGGAGGGCAACAGTTCGACCTCATGTTACAGCTTACAATCTTCGGAGTTGAAGTCTGAAGTGGAGGCCGGAATGCAACGCTGATAGGTTTTACGGGCATGCTCAAACCACCGAAACACAACGTAGGGGGCTACGGTTTCGTAAAGTTGTGCAAAAAACTGCGGAGTCAGAAACGTCGGGCCCGGGAAATCCTGAAATATGATCTAGAAGGGGAGCTAGGAAGGGCTTCTTAGCCAGACGTATACATGCATCGCAGCATCTCCTTCTGAACTATCTTTAGTTATGAAGGGTCTTGATGGTGTCACCAACCATCGATCTCAATGGACACGACTACTACATCAGGACGATCGACGATAAAGTAAAGTAAGGGACTGCCGTTGGCCTGCCTTCGGCTCTGCTGTTGCTGCTGCATCCGCAACAGATGCCGCAGGGTCCTACCGGAAACGACTAGCATAGCGAATCGCTGGAAATCACTTCTCTGCTGCTGCCCCTGTCAGCTCTAGATTTAAGCAACAGAGCATCTCCAGTACTTGTTGTACTTGTTGTAATTATACACCGCCTATACACAGGTATAAACGCCTTATGCTGCATTTTTTGACAAAGCCCATGTGGTTCGCCTGAAGATCCTGCCCTCGGTTTGTGCAGTGCAGGCACTGTCTGAGTGATCCCAGAGAGAGGGAAAGCAATGGAGAGGAGGGAGAGAGAGAGGGAGAGAGCGAGAGAGAGAAGAGAGAGAGAGAGAGAGTGTGTGCGTGTGTGTCTGTGTGTGTGAGAGAGATCGAGGTTGTAAATCGAAGGCAGGGTCTGGTTTTCAATCGCGCATGCTGTGTCTGCCGAGATGTTTTGCTTTTTTGCAGATGAATCGGCTGATCGAGCAGCAGAGTAGTGGGATGCTCGCTGCCGGCTTCGGCAGCCCTCTTCAACTCCCATCTCTTCCAAAGGGATGTGCACTTGCGCAGGGGGCAAGGGCCAAGGAAGGCAGGCCCATGCTCGCCAGTGGAAGGAACCTTACCGGACCACAATCCCCAACTTTGCGCAGGCACCCGAAATTGGCCTTTGTGCAGGGCCCGATTCGAAGCGGCAAGTAGGATTCCTAAGGGCGACCCTGAGCACCTCGGGGAGCTCTCGGGCAGGCTGACCTAGGAGCTGGGAGAATGGGTGCTGGCATGATGGTCATAGTGGCAGGCAAGCCACGAATGCCACGTACTTTGGAGGGGTCCCTCAATCGACTTGCTCTCTACCTCTCTTCCTATCTCCCAATCTATCTCTCGATCTCTCGGTCTACTCATCTATCTTTCTCCTTTCTACGTGTCTTTCATCTCGGTACAGCAAAGCCTCTTGGAGACTTCAGGTCGCCATGGCACCGCCAGTGTCGCCTTCTTAAGGAGACGCCCCCTGAATGAACGCCTGCCACTGTGCGTGTTTTTTGCAGTCTATGTGACCTGTGTCTCCGTGTGTGCTTATGCCCCAAAACGCAGGAAAACATATCAACAAACCCGCTTAGCCGGACACTCGGCGTGCCGCACAAAGAAGTGTGCAAGGCCAGCCGCCCGATCTTCTGTGTCCTGAGGTCATGACACAGCACGCCCTCTCTATGCCAGACAGTGATAGCAGCGCAGCGCACCCAGTAGTAACAGCAAAGCCGTTTCTATGCGGTGCAGGAATGCGCATGGTCCACTGGCCACATGCGATCTGCTTATCCCCCTGGCCTCTGATGAGGACAGTGACAGTGGCGAACCTGGCCGTGAGCAGGAGGAGCCTGAGGCCGATCACCCTTCTGACCGCTTGAAGGGGCTGTCTCCCGTAAACGCATGTGGCCCATTGGACTGCATCGCCTACTGGGGGGGAGAAAGGGATGTCGGGGTGAAGTAGAGTTCCAGCATGTTCCAGCATTTGGCACGTAGCGCGATCTGGGTTTCACGCCTTACTACAGCCCCCGACAACTTGGGTGGACCGCCCATCGGCCCGGAAGGCTTCGGACGCCTCGAGAGATCGCGGAAGGGTTTTGCCCTGTTTGTGGAAAAAGGCCAAAGTATCGCGATGAGGAGCGACTCCAAAGCCAAACAGAGAACAAGAACAGCGTGCTTCGCTGCAGGGTTTGGACCTGCCAGACCAAGCACGGGAAAGAACAGAAGAGAGCCACCCCAGTGCACGGCGCTGGTTATGCTGACCTGCTCATGTCGCAACCCCATCTGCTGGACCTGGAAGGTATGCCATCAAACGTGGCACATCATCATGAGACGCAGGGCTCGCATCGTCTCAAGCTGCAGCTACGGCTTCCATGCCTTCAGGAAAGTCTGAGTTCTATGAACCCGGTGGTGCCCTCGGAGCTCGGTGCTCAGGTGCTCAGTTCATGGTGTTTTCACGTACACGTTTACATTCTGCGCTGTTGTCAATAGTCGAGGTTTTCTGACACTCGGAGGCTAGGACTTGTGGTGCTAGGTGTGCCGTGCTTGCTGGGTCGCCTAAGCACTTCTTGAATCTGAACCGAGGTCCGTCGAAAAATCGACGAAGCCATCTGTTAAGGTGCCGGGCCAAGCTCGCGATGCAGAAGAGCACCTGCCGCTTTGTAACCTACCCGGGTGGCTATGCACCCGCGCCCCATGATTTCGGATATTTCGGCAGCGTAATCTAAGCTATCGACTTTTGGCCGAACCTGGCCGCAACCTTGCGTTAGCATTGTTGAGTTTACTCAGTTTCAGCTCAGCTCGGATTGAAGTGACTGTGTTGCTTCTCGGTCATGTCTGTCCCGGCATGTTAGATGCATCTGAGTCGAGCTGTGTCGATCGTGTGCAGCCTTGTGGGTACATCCAGTGCCGATGCAGGCCAAGGAGCCAGTGAAACGCAAGGACCGTCCGTGGTTCGTGCATGAGCGTGCTCAGCACTTGAATCATCTGTTATTCCAACTGTTTTGCAGCTATCCTGCGCGAGGACGATGGTTGTTGCACTCTAAAGCTCTGTACCGTCCGCGTGATGGTTTGCTCGTCGTTGTGGTCGGTTGCCGGACCTACTTGCCGTCGGACTTCTACCACAGATGGCCGTCGCCGGCCTGTTGCAAGAGTAATTTGTGCGAGACTACGGGACCGCTGCCCGCCGACGGCTGCCGATGTGAACTGTTCGGTCACAGAGACTACATCTTCGGGACCGCAGGCAGAGCAACGAGACACCAACCAACCGTGCCACGGTCTAGTGAGTCTAGTCCAACCGGGGAGAGATCTGAGCCGTCAGATCCGGTGACCGGATTTCCGACTCTCCATGCCATCCCACAGTCAGAATTTGTCCATGCACCAAGTTTATGCTTATCTGCTTATCTTCCTTCCGCTTCGTCTCCCATTGCCTGAAGACTTCGCACTGACTTGCTTGAGTCTCCTTGGGGCAGGGTTGCCATGACAAACGGCTGCTCGTTCGTAGCCAGGTGTTAGTTCCGCGTTGATGTTGTGCTTAGCCTGGCCTCGGCTTCTGTGCGCACAGCTCCACCATGTGAGACATGCTGCAAGACACCCGAGCTTCTGGAAGTTCTGTTGGCAAAGCACATTCTGCAGTAGAATGTCCTTGCTTTGCGGCTTTTCCATGTGCATCGCATCCTGTGTGATGATGCTGGTGCACGTGCGACTGGCAGGACGTTCTTTGGGGCAAGGTGCAGGCGCTTGGCAGTGTCGGGGTGCATGCGCGAGTGCTTTTGCCAGTGTGATCTCTGGCGCCTCAGGAATCTGCCCAGGTGGCTTTGACTAGTAGTGGGCTTTTGGGGTTCCAGGAACAGGCCAGTGCCGGGCCGCGAAAGAGTTTTCAGACCAGAATCAGTCTCAGCACTCGCAGGTGTGGGGTGTCCATATTTGCAATGGGATTCGGAGGTACCCAAACTTGACCGGCCCAGTCCCTTGAAGAGTTCCGCTGATTTCCGCTGTACGCCTTTCAGCTGTCAGGCCATGTTTGAGGGCGCGCGCTTGGCCGTTCGGCACAGGGAGAAGGTCCTCGAGAAGGTCGCCAGGGCCAGGGTGGATCGCAGCGCGGTAGAGCAAGACCACAAGTGTACCACGTGCCACGAAGAAGTCAAGAGAGTTTTGTGATGTTACATGGACGACGACTGACCTCTGCCTCGTGCCAGATGCGAGAGACCGTCCAGGCGCTGGCGAATCAGAAGCGAGCAGGGATAACATGGGATAACCTTCTTGCGGGCTAGCAGAGGCAGCCGGTGATTCCCTGATGAAGGAGCAGCTTAATCAACCTGCTTGTTTGAGTGTTCTGCTTGCAGAGCAGCAGACAGCAGACATGCGCTGCGTGCTGTACTCGTAGCGCCCTCTCCTATGCCGTGTTACATCGGCTGGTGGCTCGAGGCGACCGTCGAGCAACGCATCGCGGCAAAGAGGATGGAGGCAGAAAGGGCTCAGCGTGCGAGCGAGAGGGCGTCCCGGGGCCCCTGTTCTCAGGAGGCTGTCAAGAATGCGATGGATGCAGAAGCGTTGGCTTCTCTGGGTCTGGATCCTGCGACAGTGGATCCTCGCCAGCACTTCGAATTTTGCAGGGCCAGAAACCGTGAGATCTCCGAGCATTTGCTGTTGCTGCTAGCTGCATCGCATCGCCAAGGCCATGTTCCAAGAAATTCTACAGGACATCGGACTACGCTCCGAGGGGACATGTGTTTTTGCAAGTTGAGCTTTCACGAGTGCTCGATCCTCGAAGCCCTGGAACTCCCCAGCCTTCAGGAAGCCATCTTGAGTCACAGGGAAGCTTGTCAAATCTTGAGCTTTGCAGGATGCCGCTGAGTACAAGGCTGGTAAAAGAGGGGACTCTGGAAGGAAGAGAGGTGAAGCGAGATTGAGGGAGCGGCAGAGATTTCGACCTGTTGCAGACCCTCGACCACATGACCTTCGCGCAGAACCTTTTGCAAGCCGTGCTCGGCAAGGATGCCGAAACACAAGACCTTGCATATTTTGAACTTCAAGACAGCGACCTGGCAGCAAATGGCCTCCTGGTATAAAAAGTCAGAGGTGCATGTGGTGCTTTGTAACTTTAGCAGCTTCAGAAAGCGGCTGCTGTCAAGGCCTGCTGGATGCATCGCAGGACGCAGGGATGGAGCACGTACGGTAGGTCTAAGTTTCTAGATACTCGCAAGGGACATGCTGCAGTTTTGGATGGGAACGAGTTGGTTGCTTTCTAGTTCTCGAATCAACGAGACTTCTTGCATGCCAAGGCGCGTTTGCAAGACCGACTCATGAGTCCAACCGCACTTAGAGACTTAGGGCTTGTCTTCTGTCAGGAGGGTGCGGGAGACGAGGAGAGAGAACAACGATTGGAGTCCCTCATGTGGACCATCCTGACGAAAGTGCCTGGTCCGCAAGGGCTGACCGCCTTTGCACGAAAGGGTAGGTCTCTGAGTCTCAACTTGCGGACTCGTGAGGTCGACGAGCTGAAGGAAAGCATCACAAGAGTGGGCTGCTCAAGTCTCTCTGTGTCCTTGCAAGCGGTTTCAGGGCGTTGACTTGACAGGGACCATCGACTTTGGTGATGCACCATTCGCCGGCCTGGTTGAACCAGAGGCCCGCGACAACGGCCTCGAGATCACCTTGCCGACAGAAGGCCTCATTCGCGACGACTTCGACCTGCAAAAGCAGAGGAGCAGCCATCTCTCGCTTTCAGCTTCTTAAGCATCTGGGGGAAGGCTTTGTCGGTCAGGCTTCACCTTGGCCGCTATCATGAAACCACCTATACACTCCGACGTGTACACAAGGATTGATTGCTGATTGCCCACACCCCTGCTGCAGGAGTCAAGAAGACCAGCCATTCCAGGACCCTGCCGGCACAAATGATACCTGTGGCAAGTGCGAGCAAGCCTCTCTTGGAAGAGAACACTATGCCAAGAGCTGTCTGGACAAAATCAGGCAGAGTGCAAAGGCTTGTGCTAACGCCTCCTGGCGACGCGCAGTCAGGTGGTGAAGAGCGATGCTCAAGAGTGCAAAGGAACTGAAACACGAGACTGCTTTAGGTCTTATCACGGCTTGATGCGTGAGTCCTACTTGCAACGCTTTTCGTGCGAATCTTCTGTGCGACTGCGTGCTATCATACGCCGGAGCTACAAATTCTCTTTGCCACAGGAGCATGCGACTGCACAATCGACCGCAGACATCCCAGAGGCTGCGACTTTCAAACGCTTTGGGTTACGTTCTCTCCTCGACAATGAAGCAATCTATGGAATGCAGACGCCAATCTTGGAAAGTGAAGGATCGCTTGAATGCGGCCGGCCTCCAAGACGAGATAGAACTCCCGCCAGGTCGCTTTGGCATGTGGGATGTTGGGGTGGGGAGCTGGGCTTTGCAGGTAGACTGGCGGGCATGATGTTGAGAGCTCGAGCAATGCACACAGCTGGGAGTCCTTGGCATGTGACAGGGCAATGTAGTACTAGAGGTTTCAAGCGTGTCGCGCCAGAATTTTCCAGAAAAGTCTCGCAATCAACCCTACACACAAGACCGGATGAGTTTGTTTCTGATGGAGGAAAGCCCTACTACCCTAATTGAACGGGTCTTGCGCTGTTGGTGTTGACTGTAGTTTCTAAGCTTCCGAGGCCATGCTGAAGTGTTGAAGCTGCGAAGCTGTGAGTGCAGAAGTGACGGCCAGGGCCCCGCGTTCCCCAATCAAAAGAAGGGGAGCTGCTGGAAACGCCTGTGGCGGAGAGCTCTGAGCTCAGCCACATGACCCGCCACAGGAAGACAAAGTTCGATAGCAGTAAGGCCCCGGCTTCTGCAATTATTTTTTTGTGAGCTATGGGCTATGAATGCTACGAAGTCTAAAGCGTCAAGTTCGGAGACCGGGCAAGGTGTCGCAACTGAGCTTGGACACAGCGAGTCGAACCTCGAGGCTGATGAGGAAGCACGGATCATAGGGGATGTGGACTACTGGCGCATTGTACATGACGCAGCAAGTTCTTTGGCATCCGGGGTCTTCAACTACTGTTAGGCATTCAGCTTGCAGTGTCGTTTCTCCACATCGTGCATGTGCATGTGTGTGTGTGCTCATGTAAACTGGTAATCGTACCTGCAGCCATGCGCACAGATGGGCACCGTCGAACCCCTTAACTGAACATGTTCGAGCACCCGATTTGATGCTTGCCCCTTGCACGTTGGGAACAGATCCGGGGTGGAGTCCCGGCCAGCGGAGCAAGTTGCCGAAGAGCAAAGGATGCGAGGTTTTAGGCACGGCTGGTGCGGAGGATGGATGTGGGATGTTGCATGTACGGCACGTGACGTGCTATTCGTCCGGTCCACAGCATCAATGTCCGCATCGCCACGCAAGAGGCAAGCCGACACGAATGGGTTGTAGGTATGCGACCGTCAACTCGACCACAATTCGACAACTTCGGATCATGCAGCTTTCCCGCTAATACTCCATAACCGGCAGGAGCTTCCGAGCCAGGAGCCGCTGGAAGAGCTTTCCCGTCACGCGGAGCCTTCTTCGGAGCTGGAGCTGGGCTTCGCGCGTAAAGCGAGAGGCCCGCGGCCTCGCCATGCCTTGGCCTGCCTAGGTCTGTGGATGGCAATCCTGTTACATGTACCTGTAGGCCCTGTCGGCCCTCACAGCACGGAGTCGGCCCGAGCAATACCAAGACGCCGGCAGCTTGGTGCAGCACGTGACCACGGTTCGGAATCTTCATGGCTGCAATTGGCTGCAATGGCCCCACAGCGGCAACAGCGCTTTGTGAATGCTTTGCGAGGCCAGTTCCGGGAGCCAGCGGCACGAGAGCGCCAGGAGCACCCGATGGGGCGAGCGGGCGAGCATGAGAGTAGCGAGTATACCACGGCCGCCGCCAAGGAGACGTTAGCCCCAGGACATTAGGACCCGAATTTCAGGTGGGTGGAAGTGGGTGACCTGCTTACATAAGTAGGGCTTCCATTAAAAAGTCCCATGACCTGCAGCCGGGCAACTATCGATCACATAACTGCTCTTGTAAAGCTCTTACGTGGCACACTTGGAGCTCCTTTACATCATGCGTTCCTTGCGGAGCACAGTTGCACAAGCGTCGTTCGCACATGTTCGCACTGTCGCGAGGCGGCCACCGAGAAGGCCCTCCCGGTGATGGCAAAGGCACAGTTCTTGTTCAGATCTGGACTCCGTAACCTTCCGAATGCAAGTTTACCGTTGATCGGATACAGTAAATCACCGACTCAACGAACGAGCCGAAGAATGACAGGCCCCGATTAAAACGAAGCAGCCAGCAAACGAGTCGTTGACTAAACTAAACCGGCAGACGGCAACCGAATCGTGCACCAGACTAGACTAGTCAGCCAGCCATGTCGCCAACTGAACGAATTGCTCTCTTGACCAAGGAAAGGCATGTCTGAGGAGCCAGCAAGCAAAGGTAGCCAACCAACTAAGTGCCTGCCAATATCCACCTATCCAGACATCCACTAGTTCATCGACTGCTGAGTAGCAGGCAGCCACACGCACACCCCCCCACACACACACACACACAAACAAACACACACACACATACACGCAGTACTCCAGCCAACATGTCGAATTTCATGGTCGCCCATGTCTTCGATGCCCGGAGAGATAGAGATATGTATATGTGTATATATATATGTTTTTGTATATGTAGGTGTGTGATGCAGGGCTGCCAACCCCCCCTCTCCCCGTGTAATTCTTTATCTTCTTGCTGTGGCACCGGTGGTACTGCTCATGATGTTGTGTGGCTCTAGACGGCGATGCGAGTCGACAATCAGGTCATCTTTGACATCATGCTCAACATCGTCATTGTCGTCGTCATCTTCATCGTCAGTACCATCAAAAGAATAGCTGCCGCCATCACCATCGTCATACAACCCTCATAATTAAGCATTGTAATTCATGTCTGATGCGGGAAGCTACTGCGTAGCTTGCCGCTTTCCGCGCAGGGCAGGGGTGGGGCGGGGAAGTCCCAGTCCGCGCAGCAGCAGGGGCAGGGCAGAGGG